GCCTGCCCGTGTGTACTGCGCCCCAGTCCCTGGTGGCAATGCCGCAGAAGACACCCTAGACCTCCAAAGCTGCAAGCTGGGACTGGCGCACGGGCATGCGACAGCAGCAGGCACCACCAGGGGGCGCTCCCCGCTCTCGGTCGGCTTCTCTGCCTTCCGCTGTGCTACGCTGGGCTCAAGCAGAAGGGCGCAGGGGGGCCTCCCCTCTACCTCAGTCCCTGGCACCCTTCTCGGTTCAGGCTTGGCTCTGGGTGCCTCAGCTTCCTTCCCTGAAGATACGCGGGGCTGTGACAGTGACCAGATAGACCCATGTTCTGGAACTGGGCACCATTTGTCTGGGCCCTGGCCTGAGGCTTGAGCCCAGGGGTGCAGGAAGCTGGCCGTTTTTTAGGTTTTCTTTTTTCCTTTGCATGTCTGTAGTGTGGCATCAACACAGCCATCATGCGCAGAGCCGGTCTGAGCCTGCCACCCCACCCACCCCTTTGTCCCGGTTTGCAGAAGCACCGTTTCCGTTTCTTGTTTCACTTCCTTTTTTCTCCCCCCAAGCCCCCTCTCCAGCTCTCGACCCCCTACCCATTTGAAAAAGGTTCCCCCGGGCTGGTGAGATGGCTCAGTGGTCTAAAGCACCTACTTAGAACAAGCTTAGCAAAGCACAGGGACCGGGGTTCAATCCCCCAGCACCACATGCCAGCCAGCCCTTCCCCCTGGTGGGCTGAGCTGGCCACACACATAAATAAATAAATTTTAAAAAAAAAGAAAGAAAGAAAAAGAAAAAGGTTTCCCCACTTCCTGCTCTGCTTCTTTCATTTTGCTCTTTCTTGTGTCTTGGGCTCATATAAGGTAAGCCTTGCAGGGCTAAAGCTCTGTGCGTGAGTCATTGCGCTCAATGGCACGCTCCCACAGCGCATGGGCCTGCCTGCCAGTGCGCAGGGCTGCCCTTCTTTGCAGCACGACTGTACTCTACGGGGTGCGATACTGCATTTTTTAAAATACCCCATTTTCTTTATCCATTCATCTGTCTACCAACAGGTCACTTCCAAGATTTAGCTATTAGGGTTCTGATGCCCTGAGCACGGGTATGCAGGGATCACTGTGATATCTGTGACTTTCCTGAGAAGGTGCCCAGAAGGGGGATCTGGGCAAGAGGATTTTCTAGTTTTAGAATGCTGAGGAACTCCACCCTGACCTTCACAGTAGCTGTATCGGTCTGTGCTCCCACTGGAACTGTAGGGAGTTCCTTGCTCCTTGACCTCTCCAGCCTGTGTTATTTGATTTCTTGGGGATGGCCATTCTTTCTGCAGTGAGATGGAATCTAAATGCAGTGGTTTTTGGGTTTTTTTTAAATGTATTTGTTGGGGCTGGTGAGATGGCTCAGTGGTCTAAAGCACCTGCTTAGAACAAGCTTAGTTAAAGCACAGGGACCGCGGTTCAATCCACCAGCACCACATGCCAGCCAGTCCCGCCCCCTGGTGGGCTGAGCTGGCCACACACACACACACACACACACACACACACGTAAATAAATAAAAATTAAAAAAAAAATAAATAAATAAAAATAAAATGTATTTGTTTGCTTCAGGGTCTCACTATGCAGCTCGGACTCGTGGTGATCCTCCTGCTGTCAGCCTCCCTAGCACTGGGATTATAGGCATGCACCACTATGCCCGAACTCTGGCTGGCTCAGCCCACCCTGGGGGCGGGGCTGGCGTGGCATGTGGTGGCAGGATCGAACTGCGGTCCCCACACTTGCCTAAGCTTGTTTAACTAAGCGGGTGCTTTAGTCTACTGAGCTAGCTCACCAGCCCTCTAAATGCAGCTTTATTGTGGCTTGTTATGCTGGGATTGGAATCGAGGTCTCAGCCATACTATAGGTAAATTCAGCCATACTGAATTATGTTCTGAAACCCCAAGTGTAATTTTGTTTTATGTGTGACTGGCTCAGTCTGCCCTGAGGGCAGGGCTGGCACAGCAGGTGGTGCCAGGGATGAACTGCAGTCCCTGGGCTTCCGCGGCTTGCCTAGACAGGCGCTGAGCCTGCAAGCTGTCTCGCTGGCCCCCTGTAGTTTTAGTCTGTGTTTCTGTAATGGCTAGTAGTGTGGAGCATGTCTTCATCTTCTTACTGGCCAGCTGTACTGAGAAGTACCTACTCCTCTTACTTGACCTTTCTGTACATATCTTAGTGCCGGGTCTACAGAGTTTCACTGCACAGAGCAGACTCGTAGTGGTGCTCCTGTTTACAGCCTCCCAAGCGCGGGGATTACAGGCGTGCGCTAGCACACTCAGTCTCAGTCGCCCTCTCAGTGTTCCCCGAGGGCAGGGCTAGCACGGCACACCAGGGATCGAACCCCTATCACTGCGCTGGGCCTTTTATTTTGAGGGGGTCTACTTTTTGTAGTTCTTTGTGTTCTCTAGATAGGAATTGTCTGAACAGTAGCTGGCGTTCTTTTCTTTCCCATTCTGTGGGTTGTCTCCATTCTTTTTTTTTTTTTTTATTTTTTTATTTTTTTTTATTTTGAGGAAGGGTCTACAGGATGTTCAGGGTCTCATGACTAGATTGGACTCCTAGTGATCTGCCTGTTTGCAGCCGCCCTAGGGCCCTGGGGGTGGGGTCAGTATGGCAGAGTGTCTCCATTCTGTCTGCAGTTTCCTTTGCTATGCAGAAGCCTTGCTAACTGAACAAGATTCCATTTGTTGATGTGCAATGTTCTTTCTTTCTTTTTCTTTTTTTTTTGCGGTACCGGGGATTGAAGTATTATTTCTTGTACCATTGTGGTTTTGTTCAGAAGGGCCTGCCTTGGCTGTACCTGGGTCTTCTGAACTTTTACTTGGCTTATATGTCTTGCAGCAGGTTAGGTGCTTGTGCCTTAGTAACTTATAGCTTACTGCACAGCGAATACAGTGCCGAGCTCAGTCTGCAGCACTGTGCAGGAGTTTGCCCGGCACTTGCGTGGTGCTGTCCCCTCCAGCGGCGAGGGCTGGAAGCAGGGCAAGGAGGCCCCAGCAGCTGCCACAGCTGACCCCCTGCTCAGCCTGCAGTCCAGGCACAGGGCCTGCAGCTCTGGCTGCTGTCTCCTCTAGAAGGAAAACTGGTTTTTGGGAGCAGTCACTCCTGCCCTCTCTCTGCCCTGTCCCTCCTGACCGAGGGGCTTTTGTCATACATGGCCTTTGACACTCAGGGTCACCTTGTGGGTTCGCAGGCCCGGGCTGCTAACTGGGAAGACAGATGTGTCAATTCACTGACTCCCCTATATCTGCTGTGACTGTGCCCTCACCACCAGCCCACCATGCTGGTAGGGGCGACCAACACAGAGCGCGCCCCACCATTCTGCCCCACAGAGAGAAATGACACAGGGTGTCAGTGCCTGGCCCCTCCGTGCCACTGCCTGGCCAGTGTCCCTGCTCAGTCCTCTGCCCAAACACCAAACCTGACCCCACTGCCTCCTGTCTCCTTGGGCTACCCCCATCATCCTGCCCATCCTCCACAGCCCCCATCCTGGGTCCCTGAGCAGAGTGGAAGGGCAAGTGGGGAAGAGGTGCCAGGCAGCACAGTGGGGCCCTATGCATGGCTCACATTTCATAGCAGGCCCAAGCATGCCAGGAAGACCCTGGTCAGCAGCCTGAGGCTTCCTCCTGGGGCAGGATGGGCTGTGTGGGCACGGGCATGTACAGCCCCTACCCCCTTGTCCACCTCAGTGGCTGTGCCCGGAGCACCTTTCTTGGGATGGATTAGCCCTGGGACTGCGTGCATTTTCCATGGTCCTGCACACCCCTGAGAGCTGCATGCCAACAGGAGCCTCAGCGCCAGGAGGGCAAAGCTTGCTGTCTCTGCATGGGGTGTGGCAGCTTCGGGCTGGGGCCAGCTGTGCTGCCTGCCCCACTAGCTTCTTGGGAGTCCTGTGTTGGCCAGCTGTGAGGATCTCTGTCAAGCCCAAGGTGAGACTGGGAAGGGTCCTGAGTGACCCTTTCTCAGCAGTGGGCATGGTGGCACCCAGCAGAAGTGTGCCACACTCCTGCCCCACTGTGCCCCGGCTGACCCATACCATCTGCCTGCCTGCTGCCTGCCATGGGCCATCTGTTCCTCTAGAGAGCCTTCAGCTGTGCCTCCAGGGACAGGCATTGTCTGAGGTCACAGTGTGTCAACTGTGGCACACACTGTGTCGTGGGCTGCTTATGAGCCCACCTGGGAGCTGTTCAGGTTGCTGCCTGCCTCACCCGTACTCTGAGACTGTACATAGCTACTTGGGTAGCCTGTGTCACTGGGGCCTGATGCCCAAGGCCATGCCTCCCTGTCTGCTGGGCTGGGAAATCCAAGCCACTGCCCCATTAGGCTGCTGCACAGAGCCACACGATTGGGCTGGGGACCTTTCCTCCGGTGGGTGCAGACCACTGCTGGCTGCTGCCCCAGGTACCATTTCCCTGTTCAGTGTCATGATTGGCAGCTGGGCAGGGGCATCACAGGGCAGAGCAGTGTGGTGTTCCCAGGTGGCATGCCAGGGAGGCTACGCGGGGACAGCTCAGATGCATAGGACGCCTGGGCCAAGCACAGCCTCTGTGACGCTCCCCTCCTGTCCTCTACCACAGCACATCTGCATCCCCCAGCCCGACTGTCCTGACGAGGTCCGGACCTTTGCCTTCTACCTCTCCAACATCGGCCGTGATAGCCCGCAGGGCAGCTTTGACTGCATCCAGCAGTATGTGTCCAGGTGAGGTCCTGGGCCTGGCCCCAGCCCCTCCTCCTGGGCCTGGAGTAGTGCTGAGCCCTGTCCTGCCCCTGCCTTGTAGCCGTGGCGACATCCACCTGGACTGCCTGGGCAGCATCCAGGATAAGGTCACCGTGTGTGCCACCGATGACTCCTACCAGAAGGCCCGGGAGAGCATGGCTCAGGCGGAGGAAGAGACGCGGAGCCGTGGTGCCATTGTCATCAAGCCTGGAGGCCGCTACCTGGGTGAGCATGAAGGGGGCAGAAGTGCACTATGGGTGCCAGAGGGCTGGCCCTGCACAGTGTGCCAGGACCTGCGCCTGGGGACACCCCCATCTGGAAACTGCAGGCTCCTCTCAGGGTGCCAGCCTCGGGGACCTTCCCCTGCCAGGCAGACCCAGGATCCTGGGAGGCTGCAGGGTGTGGTGCAGTGAGTCTGCTGCCCAGGAGCTGGTGCCAGCATGACCACTGCACACGTGGACACCACGCTTCATGGAGAGGTGCAAAACAGGAGGCGTGGGAGGAGAGGCCTGGCTCCAGGGAGCCTCCGCCGCCATGGGCTTTGACTCATCTCCAGCAGTTGGGACGTGGGCCGCCAGGGCGCCCAGCTCACCCATGGCCTTGAGGCTCTATGTGCATGGTGGGAGAGGGGCAGTGGGCAGGGTGAAGCTGGGTGCTTCAGGTAGAAACGAGCATGTCTGCTCACAAGAGTGTGGTTCTTTGGCCCAAAATTTGGTCAAAAGCTTTGTCTTAGCACATTAATTGTGTCCAGTGATGATTTTTGAGATGGTTGGTATCTATCAGTTCCTGCACACAGGAAGACTGAGGCAGGAGGATCTCAAATTTGAGGTGAGCCCAGTCAACATAGTTGGGGCCCTGTGTCAGAACTTTAAAAAATGGGAAGCCTGGGATGTGCTGCACTCAGTGCAAGATGCTGGATTCAGTCTGCAGAAGCAAACCCTGTACCAAGGACTGGGCGCGGTGTGAGCGCTGCCTCGCCTGCGCCAAGCCCTAGGCTACACCAGGCACCACATTCAGACAGCAGCAAGACTGCCTGCAAGCACATCCTGGTCCAGAGGTCTGGGCCCCCCTCTGCCACGTCCTCCCTACAGCCTATGAGGACCAAGGCCAGGACCTCCCTGAGCACAGCCCAGAGGCTGCATGGCAGCCCTGGGTCCCTGGAGCACGTCTGTCTCTGCTGTAATAGTCAGGTGTGAGGAACAGATCCCGAACTTCCCCAGGACAATCTCCACTGCAGCTGAGCCTGTAGTGTCAGGGAGCTGGCTGGGCAGCCTGTGGCGCCCACTGCCACTCAGCCCCATTGCAGACGCCGGGCCCTTGCCACCCCTAATGCCTAGGATCTTATTGCAGGCAAGAAAGTCCAGTTCCGCAAACCAGCCCCAGGGGCAACGGACCCCGTCCCCTCCCGGAAGCGGGCGACCCCCATCAACCTGGCCAGTGCCATCCGGAAGGGCAGCGCAAGTGGAGCTGGGCTGGGCGCGGTGGCCCAGCGGCCCTTCCGGGACCGGGTGCTGCACCTGCTGGCGCTGAGGCCCTACCGCAAGGCAGAACTGCTGCTGCGGCTGCAGAAGGACGGGCTGGCACAGGCAGACAAGGACATGCTGGATGGGCTGCTGCAGCAGGTGCGTTGTGGCCGGGTCCCAGCCCTGGAGCCTGCCGTGGAGAAGCACCCCAGCTCCTCCTCTGCCCTTGCCCACCCCCAGCACTCCCACGCCTGAGGGTCAGGGTCTGCAGAATGGGCCTCCCCGTGGGGGGTGGCTAAGCCCTGCTCAGTAGCCAGGGCTGGTGAGAGTCACAGTCAGCTGTCCCAAGCCCACCCACCTCGCTCCCGGGACACGCTGCCTCCTGACAGCTGGGCATTGGTGTCTGGGGGAGGGCACACTTCCTGCCTACTACTTCCTTGCCAGGCTTCTCGAGTTGGTGGTCCAGGGCACACACCCCCAAGGCTGGTGCTCAGGGGGACACTGATGTGGCGCAATCCCAGCCGTGGCTTCCCTGTAGACCTGAGGGTAACTCTGAGCACATGTGGGTAGTAGGGGGGTCCCCCCAGCACTGTACCCCAAGAGTTCAGCACACAGGACAGGGTGGTGACATGGGACCTCTACAACCCCTGCAGAGAAGGCAGAGTCACCTTTCTTGAGCTAGCACCGGCCCTGGAGACCAGTGGCCCAGAGCCATCCCCACTCTCTGAGGAAGACACTCTCTGAGCCGCTGTCCCGAGCAAAGACTCGTAGCAAGGACTGGGCCCTGGCCCTTCTTCCACTGTGCCCGGAGCAGCCAGATGATTCCTAGTGCTTGGTTTCATGGCCCAGGCAAAGGAGCCTGAGGAAGTGTCTAGAAAGTTGTGGAACTGCACTAGACCTGAAGTCCTTAGCATCTCAGTGTCGGTCTCAGGAACACAGAGCTAAGCATGGCAAGGCCCTTTGGGGCCATGTGGGGAAACAGAGGCAGGCTGCCTGTGGCAGGCAGGGGTACCACAGGGAGCCATCAGGTTGTACCTAGCTTACCCCTTCCTGGGGCAGACCGGGCTGGGCCCCAGCTTTTCCTAGTGACAGGCTCAGTGTCCCTGCCGCTCACCTCACCCGTGCCCTCTGAGCAGCTGGCGGTAGCAGGACTACAAGCTTTCAGAAGAGGCATCCTGGGGATGCACCACACCCAGGCCAGTCATTTTCAGCTTTCGTAGACCACCAGAGATTGGGGACCAGCAGTGATACTGCACTTCAGCCCCTTGCTCTTTGTGAAAGACAGAAGGTGTTATGTGCAGCTTGGGGACCCCAGAGCCAAGAGGCATGTCCTGGAGGGCAGGGCTGTGCTGACAGCGACACAAGAAGAGTCAGGAGCCTGGGGAGCTGGGACCCACTGGCCCCACAACCCAGGAAAGTCACAGATACGCCTTGGAGAAGAGTCCCTTTGTGGTGCAGCCAGTGTGCAAGGAAGAGCGGCCACAACAGGGTTCCGGAGACCCGGGCACCCAGGAGGCCACCGTCGTTGCCTAGTCTGAACAGCGACCTGGCCCCTTTAGCCCCTATAGAGCAGATGCCCTGAGTCCACCTGGGCTACAAGGCCTTGAGGATAAGCTTGCTTCTGGAACCAGTAGGAACATGGGGAGGGGCTCCACAGCCGTCTGCCGCTGGGCTGAGAGCTGCCTGGAAGGGGTGGGGTAGCAGTGGGTCTCAGGCAGAGGTGGGGTGCCGTCCTGCTGAAGCTGTGTCATGGCCTTCCTCGCTCGCCCTTCTGTTTTCCAAAGTTCTGCTCAGGGAAGCCAGGGTCAGAGGTGTATGGGGCAGGAGCCCGCAACCCCTGGCCCTTCTCTGTTGGGATGTCCAGATCTCCACCTCACTGGCCTGTGGGGCTGCCTGAGTGGTGACAGAGCTGTCTTGCAGGTGGCCAATGTGAACATCAAGGATGGGACTTACACACTGCGGGACTGCATGTACAAGGACGTGCAGAAAGACTGGCCTGGCTACTCAGAGGGCGACCAGCAGCTGCTAAAGCGTGTGCTCGTGCGGTAATGCCACCTGCCCCCACTGTCGGGCCACCAGCTGTGACCTGAATCCTCAGGCAGAAGCCCTATCCAGTGGCCTTTCTTACTGTACCAGCTGCCCCTGTCAGGCCCCAGAAGGGGTGCTACACCACGGGTCCCCATTGGCCTGTCCCTTAGGAGACGGAGAGCACTGTATAGCCATGGCCCTCCTGTTAACTCACGCATGGGCAGAGGGAGCGGCAGTGCAGTGTGGGTCTCACATGGGGCCCAGGCCAGGGCAGGACCAAAGCTTGGGCCCTCTGGAGTATGCAGTTCTCTGGCTCAGCACAGCGGTGCAGTGGCAGCGTCAGAGTGGAGCACGCTGGTGTTCTGTTGTTATAGGCGGCATCCTGGGAAGGGTGAGAGTAGGCCTCTTGAATGCTTCACGCTGGCACCCACCTCCAGGTGTCTGTCCCTTGAGTGAGTCTCCTCAGCGTCCCCAAGTCCTGCCATTCCCTGCCCTGTGAGACCCCATGCCCTATGTGTACCCCTGCTCCTCGTTGGAACTGGTTTTTTTCCAATACTGAGGATTAGACCAAGGACTCACTGAACTACATTTCCAATCCTTTTTTCTTTTCTCTTTTCCCCCTTCTTTTTTTTTTTGAGACAGGGCCTTGCTGTACAGTTTAGGCAGGCCTTGGACTCACTGTGTAGCTCAGGCTGATCTTGAACTTGTGGCGATCCTCTTGTTTCAGTTTCCTGAGTGCTTGGATGGCAGGTGTGTACCATCACCTCCAGGTTTTGTTTCTCATATTGAGATGGGGTCGCGCTACGTTGCCCAGGCCGTGCTTGGGCTTCTGAACCACCTGCCTCTGGCTCTGGGGACACACAGCCCTCTGTGGTGCACCTCACAGTCACAGGAGGCGCCCTGGGCAGGCACCACGACCTGCGGGCCCAGGAGCTCGGTGTCTCCTCCAAGCCAGCAAGCCTTCCTGGGCTGAAGGACATGTTTTCCTGTCCCCCTTATTTTCCTGTCTTTCTTTTTTTCTTTTATTTAAATTTTATTCATTTATTTATGTGTATGTGTGTGTGTGTGTATATGTGGCTAGCTCAGTCCACCAGGGGGCGCGGCTGGCTGGCATGTGGTGCTGGGGGATTGAACCATGGTCCCTGTGCTCTGCCAAGCTTGTTCTAAGTAGGTGCTTTAGACCACTGAGCCATTTCACCAGCCCCTTTCCTGTCTTTCTTGAAAGCTCTGTTCGCCTCCCAGCCCTCCCCGTGTCTGTGACCCGTCCCGGGCCTCGCTGCTGCTCTTCCACAGTGCTGTGCTCGTTTCCGGCAGTGATGACATTTCCACCCCTTTCTCTGAGGCCATCTAAGCAGCAGCCCTTTCCCAGGCTCGGTTTCTGTGAGCAAGTCTCTAGCGAGCTGCCTCTGGAGGCGGGGTCTTGGCCTGGGCCGGGCGTCCGTCCATGTGGTGTGGTCACCAGGCGTTGTGTTACACCAGGCACCCTGTGCAGCAGGCTGTCCAAGCCACACCTCTTCAGGGCTGAGTGTAAACTGTCCTGTGGCAGGGATGGCTCATGGTGCCACCTTCTGCCCTACGTGTTGCCCAGGTCTGAATATGGTCACCAGCCAGCCACTGCCTTGGACACAGGATTGGGTTACATGGCATCAAGATGGCATGATCCCCGAGGGGGACAGAGTGGAGAAAAGAAGTTGATTGCGGCTTCTGGTCAAGACCTGACCCTGTGTAGCCATCTGCTTGCTGGGGGTTCTCATGGTGGCACAGGTGTCCCAACACAAGATGATCCCACAGAGCCACTGTAGGGCCCCACCCCATGACCTCATCGAGGTCTCACCCGTCCGGAGGCCCTGCCTCTCAGCGCCACCTGGAGCCTGTGCAGCCCACAGTGACGCCAGCAGGGCATCCTCTGGGTCACCCTGTGTGTACGGCTGGTCTTTCCTCCCCAGGTGTCTGTGTGGTAGGAGACTCCACGGGGCACAGGGGGCCCTGACCACCCTTTCCCCTCTGCAGGAAGCTGTGCCAGCCACCGAACACTGAGCCTGCCGCCTGCAGCCCTCTCGCTGAGCACGGGCGCCCTGCCTCACCCGCCCAGGTAGGTGCTTCCTGCCTGCCCTGGCTTGCACCATGCCTGGCTCACTGGCCCCTGGCTGCCTGCTCTGGGTTCATGTCCCTTGGTATCTTGGGCTTTGTGTTGCTGACCCTACCGGTGCTTGCCACACGTGCCCTACAGGCCAGTGTGCAGCCAAGCCCTCAGCGGGCTGTGCCATTCCACAGGCCCAGTGTGGCCTCTGGTCACCCCCTTGTGGCCAGCGCAGGCCCTAGAGGAATCCCGGCAGCTGCTGCAGCCCTGGTGTCTCCTCCACAACCTCTTGTTGCTTCACAGAAGCGGCCACAGCCTTCCGACGTCATCGACCCCCTGCTCCACAAGAAGCCCAGGGTCTCACGCTTCACGCAGAGAGCCCAGCCTGCCCTCAATGGGAAGCTGAGCACACCCAATGACCGAGAGGCTCTGCTACCCACACCCAGGCCACCCGCTGCCCCTATGCCCCCACGGCTGGATCTCCCACGCGCCCATGACCTCTTGGCTGGTGTCAGCAATGACCTGGGCCACAGCGGTCAGGACTGCACACGCGGGGAGACGGCTGCCCTGGCACCCGCCGTGCCCCTCGGCCTCCCCACGCTGACGGACTGTGCCCAGCCTGGTGGGCCCTGTGGCACCCCTGTGCGCAGCAAGCCTAAGAAGAAATCCAAGAAGCACAGAGACAAGGAGCGGGTGGCAGAGGACAGGCCCCATGAATCAACACCCCGCCCAGAGCCCGGTGCCCATGGAGAGCCCCCCAGTGCCCCGGGTAGGTGCCGAGGCCCCCTGCTCCCTGCCTGCCCGCTTCCTGAGGCGCAGCTGAAGACTGTGCTGCGTTACCTACTTGGGTGGGCTGGCTGGCTGAGGGCTGCAGTCTGCAGGAAGCTGAAACCAGCACTCATGGAGGGATGTGCAAAGGACAGGAATGTGTCCAGGGCCTGGGCCAGGCAGCCAGGATCGCACCTCCTGGGCCAGGAGAGCGGGAGGGTGAGCAGCGCAGGCAGGTTTGGGCACAGGGCCTGCAGGAGGGCAGCACCTGGGTCCAGCCCACCGATGAGCCAGGTCAGTGTGGAGGAAGTGTTGGTGACTTGCAGGAGGATCGAGAATTTGAGATCAGGGTGACACAGGGCAAAGGATGCGGTCATGGGTGGGAGCAGGGGCCTGTGCTCTTGACTGTGGGGTCATGGGTGGGGCCTGCTGGGGTGACAGCATGGTGCTCCCCAGAGGCAGAGCAAGGATGTCAACCCAGCACAGAGGGCTAGCTCTGGGGCCAGGAGACTGCATGTCATGCCAGGTGGCCCCCTTCCTGTCTAGCACCAGCTGCCCGGCACAGGTAGGGCCCTGGATGGGATGCCTCCGAGAGTGGTGCTGAGATTTGCTCTGTGCCCCAGAGAGCTATGGCCCTCTTCTGCACCGTGACTGGCATCATGGGGCTCATCCTGCCTGGCAAAGGTTGCTGAGCTGTATCATGGCCACCATGCTGGGACTACCAGGGCTGGGCTTAGGAGCAGGTGCCACAAGGCTGCGGGCAGCTCAAGGCAGCACACCCCCAGTGTACAGGCCCCTGGCTGTGTCCCCCCCCCCCATCACCACAGGAGAGGAGGAAAGGGGCAGCAGCGGGGACACTGCACAGTGATTGGGCCTTGAGAGGACGGCTGATACAGGCGATACAGCAAGCAGTTCTCCGAAGTGCTACAACCCAGGCTGAGTGTGCGCCAGAAGGTGGCTGGGGCTCTGTTGCCGGACTGGCCTCGGTTTACCCATTTGTCCCAGCCTGGAGGGTTGAGCGAGGTGTTCCTGACTGCCTGGCCTGCACTGTCCTTGTCACTGGGAGCAGGGGCCACAGGCAGGACCCACTTTGCCTGCAGCTGTAAAGAAGCTGAGAAAAAAAAAAAAAAAAAAAGCTGGGGCGGCAGCCTTGACTCCTGAGGGCTGGGGGGCGTGCCTGGGCGTTCTGTATATTTAGCCTGGCTCAGGCAGGGTCCTTGCTCCAGCCTTGAGTGGAAGCAGCGGCACTGTCTAAGGCATGAGCCTCCCTCTGCCAGCACTTTGGAAGCTCAGACAGCGTCACATCTTGCTGTGTCCTCCAGGCCAGCCTCAAACTTGTGCTTCTCCTGCCTCAGCCTCCAAGTGCTGGGAACACAGGCGTGCGTCACTGCACCTGCCTGGTTGTGGATCTTACCTTGCAGGGTTCTTGTTTCCCCTGGCAGAGGCCTTCATGGCTCTTGTCTGACCCACATCCACTTTGTCCCTGCACTAGGGAGGCCCCACCTGGGGTGGAAGCCATGCCCTGCTTGGTGAGAATGGTGTTCTGGGGTTGACCAGCAGGCGGCGCAGGGGTGCGAGGAGTGGGGTCCACCTGCTGGTGGGCAGGATGCAGGGCTGTGGGCAGTGAGCTGGCTGCTCTGGGCACTGCGGGAGGCTGAGGCAAGATGATCAAAAGTTCAAGGCCAGCCTGGGCTGCTTAGACTCTGACTCAGAATAAAAAACTGAAAAGGGCTGGGCATAGTTCAGTGTTGGGACCCTGGGTTCCATCTCCAGGACCACAAGAGCAAGAGGTTTCTTTGGGCAGGGTGTGTGGGCTGGCTGTGGTTGCAGGCACAGAGGTGGAGCAGCCAGTGCCTCTGCCCTCCAGCTTTTCAGAGGCATGTGGCTGGCCCACGTGTGGACAGCCATGCAGTGTGGCAGCGTGGCCCAGGTCCTTCCTCACTGGCCCAGGCTGCCGACGTCCAACAGAGCAGGAGAGGCTGTGGGTGGGAGCTGGGCTGCGGTGAGCAGCAGGGCCACTGTCCCTTTGTGCTGGGCCAGAGCCTCAGCCTGTGCTAAATGCACCACACTGCAGCTGGTGTCAGCACACTGCCCTGCCTGGCCCCACAGGGACTCAGGTCTACCTTGGCTCTTGCAGGCCTGAACGGAGCCTGTAGCGCTGGTGCCAGTGTGCCCACGTCCACATCGGAGACGCCCGACTACCTGCTGTGAGTCCAGGGGGCTGGCTGGGGGGCAATGTCCCGACCCCCACCACTGTGGTCTGCACTGCAGGTGGCGTGGCCTTGCAGTGTGGCCGCCCCAGCTCGAGTGTCTCACCAGGGCAGGCGCAGGCCCTGAGTCTGATGGCCCTGTGTCTCCTGCAGCAAGTACGTGGCCATCTCCTCCTCGGAGCAACGCCAGCGCTACAAGAACGACTTCAATGCCGAGTATAGCGAGTACCGCGACCTCCACGCGCGCATTGAGCAGATCACGCGGCGCTTCACACAGCTGGATGCGCAGCTGCGGCAGCTGGCACAGGGCTCTGAGGAGTATGAGGTATGGTCCCAGCAGACCTCATGTACAGCAAGAGACAAGCCATGGTGCAGGGCTGCACCTCCGGGGCGTGGGGCAGGAGGAGTGCTCAAGCCAGGGGGACCCATACAGCCAGACAAGGCCGAAAGGGAGTCATTGGCGTGGGTGGCTCAGTATGCACTGGCCCAGTGTGGGCAAGGCCCTGGCTGCTGTCCCTGGAGGGAAAGCGGAAGTCGGGCAGCAACGCGTGTGAAAACAGGGTCAGGGATGCTGGAGCCAGACAGAGTTCCTTGGACACAGTGGGAAGTGAGGGTAGGGTCCCAGCTCCTAGAACGCATGTGGAGGTGCTGTGGCCCCTGAGCTGCAGCATTCCTTTAGTGCTGGGCCAGAGTCCTGGCAGAGCTGGGCTCAGAGTCATGGGGTCAGGCCCACCAAGCCCAGTTGGGTCTCCAGAGGATCCGGGGAGGAGTGCGGGTCGCAGAGGTCCTGGGCACCCACAGCACCACCTGAAGCACCGGCCCCCTGCGCCATGGGAGCAGCTGGAGACCCAGTCTGACGGCCAAGGACAGCTGCCCAGCCCCCATACGGGACTGGTCTGCCCCGGCAGCGGGGAGCATGCCATGTGCTATGGTTCTGTTTTTCCTCCAGAGTACCCGGGGGCAGATCCTGCAGGAGTATCGGAAGATCAGAAAGGTGAGTCTGAACGCTGTGTGGGGCCCGCCCCGCGCCCACTGCCCTCGTGTGCCCCAGGCCTGGTGGGGAGGCCCGCGGGCAGGGCACACTACCCACACAGTGTCCCTGTGCCCCAGACCAACACCAATTACAGCCAGGAGAAGCAGCGCTGCGAGTACCTGCACAGCAAGCTGGCGCACATCAAGCGGCTCATCGCTGAGTATGACCAGCGGCAGCTGCAGGCCTGGCCCTAGCGCCGCGCAGGAGCTGGGCGCCTCGAGGCGGCAGATCGGGCGGGCCGGGCCTGTTCAGAACAATAAACGCGGACCCTCGCCTCGGAGCCGCCGGGCCCAGCCGCCTTCGCGCTGCCGAGACTCTGGGGCCAGCCGCTGCCTTTTCTAGTTTTGTATGAGCTACCGCTGAAGAGACTCGTCTATTTTTATACAAGAGAAAGCAGCTTTTCTAACCCTGTGCCTCCTTCTCCCTGGACGCCCAGGTCGGGGTGCCACCCGCGTCCTTATGCAGTATTAGATATGTCACCCGCAGGCCTCCGCTGTCGCGCCCCGCGAGTGTGACTGGACGGGGCCTCAGTTTCTCCTCCGCAGCTGCTCGTGCCCCTTCCAGGGGCCACAGCCCCCACGCCGCTGGTCTCTCCGTCCCTCTGTCCACTTGTGGGTCCCAGGATCGCTTCAGCTGAGCCGCCGCTGGGTTTGCACTCAGGGAGGGGCTGGGAGCCCTGCGGACGCCCCAGTTGCTGCTTTGTCACTGTGCCTAGTCTCCAGGGTCGCCGACACCGCGGGGCATCGTGTGCGTGTGTGCGCGCATGCGCGCGTGCGCCCACGTGGGGCCCCTGACCGCGCAGGGCTGTCTGTGGCTCCAGCCCGCGGGGCTGCTGGCGCCTGCGCCGTGGGGCGCCGCCGGCCTCTTCCCTGCGGGAGCCTGGCGCGGAAGCCCATCCTGGCGTTTCAATGGCTGTTTTGTTTCCACGGGGCGGGGCGGCTGGCCGAGGAGAGCGCTGTGCGCTGGCCCGGGAGGCGCTTATTTAAGCCCCCCAGTAAGCCGTCCTTCGCCCACCCCCACCCCCGCGGTCTCTTGTCCCTGGAGGGACGGGCGACTACGTCAAGGAAGGGCTCTGCCTTGGGGCCGGGCAGCGCTCATTCCTCTCATTAAATACGGTCTAACTTATTGATGCTGTTTTATTTTCCTTTTAACGTACTGTGGAGAAACTACTTTGAGCCATGGACTAGGTGTTTACAAAGAATTTTTCACTTTTGCCAAATGTTACAATTGGAAGGTATCTACATCTGCAGTTTCCTAATATTTTCTTAAGAGACCCACGGTCCTTTTTGTACACTAAGCAGGTGAATGCTGATTTTTCATCCAACAATAAATTTCACTGAACGAACCCAGCCGCCTGGCAGCCGGGCTTCCTGTGTGTGAGTCGCAGCCGGCCCCACTGAGGCACCGGGTCCTCCAAGCCCTCCTGAGCTGGGGCCAGGGGAGTGGGGCCACAGTCCCGAGGAGATGGTCGGGGGAACTAAGCTGTGGCTCGTCCTGCCCCAGATGTCCCAGCTACTCAAGGAGCTGAGGTGGGAGGGTCCCTGGCGCCCAAGGCCAGCTTGTCAGTAGGATGCGCAGCAGGTTTGGCAGTGTTTCAGTGGTCCTCCCAAGCCAGGCTGGCAGGCGACTGCCACTGAAAGGGAGCGTGCTGAAGCTGGAGGCACGTCCCCCACCCTGCAGGCGGAGGGCAGGCCAGGAGGTGAGCACAGCGGCACAGTCACTCTTCCAAGGCCAGGTGGGGGTGGATGTTTATTCTAGAGGAGAACACAAAAGACTCCTGCAGGAGCAGAGCAGAGGGGGCAGCATCTTGTGGCCTTGGCCTGAGTTCTGAGGCAGCACAGGAATCCCAGGGGTGTGGGCGAGGCGGCATGTACAGGCTGCAGGGACAGCCTGGCCACCACCTGGTCTTCCCGTGAGGCGCCCCTGCCCCCACGCACCAGGCTGTGGCCACCATCCTGAAAGGCCCACGGGTGACACTGGATGGCAGTTACAGGGGACTGCATAGATGTAGTGAGGCACAGTCCTGCCTGGGACAGCAGCAGCTGCTTGACCCAGTTGGGTGGCCAAGGTCCCAGAGGCCACAGACCAGGGACAGTTCCTAGGGGGATCCCCTTCTTGGGTGGATCCTAGGCACTGCTGCTGGCCTTGGGACAGGACTGAAGACGCCCTGGGGTGGGGCAGAAGCAGCACAGGCCGGCTCTGGAGGGCAGGTTAACCTGCAGGGGTCAGAGTCCCATGCCAGAATGTCTCCCAGGGTCCACATGCCTACGTGCTGAGCAGAGCCGAGGGGACTCCGACCCTGGGGAGAGGCAGCAGGGGGACAGGCACCATGGGCTCCGCAGTCGGCACTCAGCCAGGGACCTGAGGACAGGAGTGATGGCAGAGCCATGCCACTCAGCATTCCGGGAGGCAGAGGAGGCGGGAGCAGCCCAGGCCACTTCCCAGCTTAATGAGACCCTGTCTCTAAAAATAAAAAGGGCCTGAGGGTAGGCCCTAGTAATGCAAAAGCAAAAACATGCCTCCAGGGCTGGCTGGGGAGATGGCTCAGTGGAATAAGCGCTTCCCTGGCAAGCACAAGGGCCTGAGTTCAATCCCCGGTTCCACCAAAAAAAAAAAAAAACCTGCCTCCAGGTCCCTGGGGTAATGCCGGTGGCTAAGAGCACAGCCTGCAGCTGGGCCCTGAAGACTGCAGGTGCTGAGTGAGCCCAGGCACCCGAGGACCTCTGGTCAGCTCACAGCGCAGGGGCTGGCAGGCTGGGGCCCTTCTCAGTGGCTCCTCTGTCATCTCAGACATTCTACTCTCCAGGTGGGCTGGGACAACTGTGCTCCAGAAGGTGCTAGTTTCCAATGGGCATGGTAGTGCACATCTGTCATCCCCGTACCAGAGGCTGAGGCAGGAGGACAGCTTCAAGTTCTAGGCCAGGCTAAACTACATGGCAAGACTGAGACTCAAAAACAAAAACCCAAAAGACCCTGGTTCCCTGCCACCCGGCCTCTGCCTTTGCCCTCGCCCACACAGGCGCCACAGGCCGGCTCTGCCTGGCTGACCCACAGCCCCCACCTTCCCTCAAGCACTGCCAGGGGGACAGCAGCCGGCCCAAGGCGCCCCTCTCACTGCAGTCTGCCCTGTCGCCTCCAGTGCCTGCCTCCTGCCTGCACCCCTATAGCTCATTCCCCCAAGCAGGGGGAGTCCTGAGCCTCCTGCGACAGCAACACCCTCTCTGCCCTCCCAGTACCTGAGTCATTGCACAGTCCTGGCCCAGGTTCAGCTACTGCTGTGGGTGAGCACTGGGGTTCCCATGTCCCCACTTTAGGTGGGATAATTTGGGGCAGCAGCTTGAAGAACCCAGGAAATCACTAAAGCCAAGCAAGAAGGCACACAAAGGTGGGGCAGAAGCTGCTGTCTCTTCTGAAACTGCTGAGTCCCCAGTGCGCCATAGCTGTGCATGCCCTGCTGGGGTCTCTGGAAGTCCTGTGAGGCACCCTGTCTCACTCCCCCAGGAGAAATGCAACCCACACTCCTGTGACAAAGACCAGGAGGGACCAGGCTGTGGCTCAGTGGCGCGCGCTTGCCTAGTGTGTGCTAGCTGTGGGTTCCACCCTGGCGCATCCCCCATGTGTGACAAATTCATGTTATCTGAGCCCCATATGGCCCACGAACCTTCAGAGATGTAGCCTGAGACCCAGGGAAAATTCTCTTAAGTTCCCCAAAGTGTAGACTACAGATAGCAGGGAGGCTGAGGCAGAAGCACCCTAAATTCTAGCCCAAACTGGGTGACTCTGACTTATAAGACCCTGCCTCAAAAAAAAAAAAAAAAAAAAAATAGGACAGGGACATAGCTCAGTGCAAAGGCCCTGGGTTCAGTCTCCAGTTCTGGAAAAAGTTAAAAAAAAAAAAAAAAAAAGTGCACGTCCTAATGGAAACAAACGGGGCAGGCCCCATGGCAGCCTGTCCGTCCAGATTCCTCCATGCCTCTGTGGTACATTCTTTCCTCCCGGGGATGACACAGGACCCCTCTTATCTGCTGTCCGGAAGTTGAGAGCTGGAGCTCTGTGATGGGGTGTTTGTTCGCCGAGTGCGTCGGCCTTGGGAGACTCGCCTGGTTTCGATGGCTCACTTCGGGGCAAGCAGACAGAAAGCAGGGTCAGTTGGAGCTCCCACCTCAGGCCACTCGATCCACAGGGCCCATGCGGGTGGGCTACAGGGTTCCGGCCCAGCCGCATCACTGAGTGGGTACAAGTGGTGACAGGGAATCAACTGGAGATGGAGAACAAAGAAGACATCTTTTACTAGCACAATCCTGGGGCTCAGCCATGCGGATCTGCTGTACCCATACTGACCCTCTGTCCTTGAAACATCACCTAAGCCCCCTCCCAAGGCTTTTCTTTCCAGGCCGCAGGTGGAAAGAGAAGCCTGTCTGCCTTGACAAACTTCTCATATCTCAAAACCCTCCTCTCCAGCCACCTCTTCTGGGACTCCTGCCCTGCTGTCCCCAGACTTGCCTAGGGTTCCCCCCAGCAGGAGGCACCCCCTCCTTTCTAAATCTTCACACCAGGGTCCCTTCAGATAGGCCTGGAGCCAGGGTCTAGAAGCCCCCGGCCCTGGAGGCCAGGCCCTTGCTGCCTTCCGGGCAAGTCTTCCCAACCCTCCACCTTTTGGGCCTGCTCCAACACTGGAAACTTTCCGCACAGCCGCTTGTTTTGGAAAGTTCTTGGGGCGCCGCCCCCGCCTGCCCACCAGGTTCCCACGCTCCCTTATCGCCCAGCACAGGGGGGCACCCTGCTCCAGGCCTCACTCCTCCTCGCCCAGGCACTGCCCATGCCCTCCCTCTCCAGCTGGGAAACCGAGGCACATGCATCTGGACCAGGCCGGGACAGACTGGTCCATCCAGAGTTGGACTGGAGGTCTGTGGGGTCCCAACGGGGGGTGGGGATGGAGTCCTGTGTGGGTACCCCTGCTATGTAAGAGGGTCCTGTCTGGCTTTGGGGTCTTAGTTGTGGCTGGCCTCAGTTTCTCCTGCGGTGTCAGACCTCAGGACACGTTCTCCTCCCCAGTAGCACCCCCTGGCTCCCTCAGTCCCTTTGTCCTAGCACAGCACTGTGCGCCTGAGCTCGCGCCACCTTCTGGAGTTCTGTGAGGACCCCAGTGGTCTGGCCTCGAACCCGCGCCCCGCCCACCCGCGCGGGAGGGGGCGTGACGGGGCGTGGCCACGGCTCTTTTCTTCCCAGCCCCGCGCTGCGCAGCCCGCGCTGCCCGAGGAGTCCGCGCCGGTGAGTGGGTACAGCCCGGGGCAGCGGCGGGCCCGGGCTAGGTGGGCTTAGCTTGGTGCTAGGTCACTGCTGACGCTGCCACCGGCCCCCAGCTTGCAGCAATGAAGGCCGCCTCCGTGTTCGTGGTCGAGAGCCCAGACGTGGTCTACACGCCCGAGGCCATCGAGGCGCAGTACGACTACCGGACCACGCGGGTCGTTCGCGAGGGCGGCGTCCTGAAGGTGGCGCGGAGGGAGCGCTGGCCGGGAGGGCACCGGGCGGGCGGGGTTCTCCAGTGTCTCCAGCCTCGGCCTGAGCTCACGGCGCCGCCCCCCAGGTGCAGCCCACGTCCACGCGCTTCACCTTCCGGACCGCCCGGCAGGTTCCCCGGCTCGGGGTCATGCTCGTCGGCTGGGGCGGGAACAACGGCTCCACGCTCACGGCCGCCGTGCTGGCCAACCGCCTGCGCCTGTCGTGGCCCACGCGCACCGGCCGTAAGGTGGGGGCTGTGGGCCCACGGGGGCAGGCGGGTCCTGCAAGCCGCGCGGCCAGCTGGGTTGGGGCAAGGGTCTCGGCGGGGGAGGCAGGGCTTTCGCAGGGCGGGCAGGCTCCGTGGGGGGCCCTCCAGAGGCGTGCATTAAGGCACCACCGGGGGCGGGGCTTCCGTCCCGATTCGAAGCCCGGAACTGAGCTCCGGGCGAAGGGGCGGGACCGAGTCTCCACCGGGCTCCGCCCCCGCCACGCCCAGCTTCAGCGCGGCGCTCTGCTGCCCCCAGGAGGCGAACTACTTCGGCTCGCTCACCCAGTCCGGCACAGTGAGCCTGGGCCTGGACGCCGAAGGCCAGGAGGTATTCGTCCCCTTCAGCGCGCTGCTGCCCATGGTGCCGCCCGACGACCTGGTGTTCGACGGTAGGCCGAGGGGCGGGTTGCGCGGCGGGGATTAGTGGGGGGCTGGGCTCCTTGAGAGTCCGAACGTGAGGGTCGTAACTCCCCCAGGCTGGGACATCTCCTCGATGAACCTGGCAGAGGCTATGAAGAGGGCACAGGTCCTGGACTACGGCCTGCAGGAGCAGCTGTGGCCGCACATGGAGGCCCTGCGCCCGCGACCCTCGGTCTACATCCCCGAGTTTATCGCCGCCAACCAGAGCGCACGTGCCGACAACCTTATCCCGGGCACACGCGCGCAGCAGGTGCCCTCCTGGGTCTCCTCGTCCCACTCTATAGGGGCTCCTGTTCTTTCACTCTATGTGCCTCCTTGTGTTTAGGGAGTGGGCAACACTGATCTCAGCGACTTCGGGGATTTGCACCCTCTCTCCACCTGCTACTCTCCCTACAGTTGGAGCAGATCCGAAAGGACATCCGCGACTTCCGGTCCCGTGCAGGGCTGGACAAGGTCATTGTGCTGTGGACAGCGAACACGGAGCGTTTCTGTGATGTGGTCCCAGGTGTCAACGACACTGCGGAGAACTTGCTGCGTACCATCCAGGTGGCTGGGGGGAGGGGCGGGGGGGGCCGCGGTACAGCCCCCACCCCCACGCTGACGCCAGCACCACCCGCAGCTTGAAAGGGAGGTGTCGCCATCCACGCTCTTCGCTGTGGCCAGCATCTTGGAGGGCTGTGCCTTCCTCAACGGGTCTCCACAGAACACGCTGGTGCCTGGAGCCCTTCAGCTGGCCGAGCAGCACCGCGTGTTTGTGGGCGGCGACGACTTCAAGTCGGGCCAGACGAAGGTGAAGTCAGTGCTCGTGGATTTCCTCATTGGCTCTGGCCTCAAGGTACGTGAACGGGCCAGTGCAGGACGCTCTTGTAACCTGAGGACACAGCTGTGCGCGCCACAGCCTGTAACGCCGCCGTCCTTGTGGCTGCAGACCATGTCCATCGTCAGCTACAACCACCTGGGTAACAATGACGGGCAGAACCTGTCGGCACCGCAGCAGTTCCGCTCCAAGGAGGTGTCCAAGAGCAACGTGGTGGATGACATGGTGCAGAGCAACCCGGTGCTCTACGCGCCCGGCGAGCAGCCGGACCACTGCGTGAGTGTGGGGCGCCTTGGGGAGGATGAGGTGGAGGGTGGGTGCAGCCCTGTACGACTTCGTCCCTCACTATAGGTGGTCATCAAATATGTGCCCTACGTGGGCGACAGCAAGCGCGCGCTCGATGAGTACACATCGGAGCTGATGCTAGGTGGAACCAACACGCTTGTGCTTCACAACACTTGCGAGGTGGGGTGTGGGGGCGGGGGGCGTGGTGGGTATTGGGTGTGGCCGGCGGCGCACTCACCCATCTCTCCCCAGGACTCGATGCTGGCGGCGCCCATCATGCTGGACCTTGTGCTGCTCACGGAGCTGTGCCAGCGCATCAGCTTCTGCACAGACACCGATCCCGAGCCTCAGCACTTCCACTCAGTGCTGTCCCTGCTCGGCTTCCTGTTCAAGGCGCCGCTCGTGCCGCCCGGCAGCCCGGTGGTGAACGCACTCTTCCGCCAGCGCAGCTGCATCGAGAACATTCTCAGGTGCGTGTGCGAGCTGGATGAGCCGGCCAGGCCCGGGCCTCACAGCTGAGCCCACCTTGTCCTCGTCCCCTCAGGGCATGCGTGGGGCTCCCGCCCCAGAACCACATGCTCCTGGAGTACAAAATGGAGCGCCCAGGTCACAGCAGCAAGCAAGCCGCATCCGTGGGCACCGCTGGCTCACTGCACTGCAAGAAAGGGGTGGCACCCTTGGCCCCCAACAGCTGCACTGGCGACACCAACGGCCATCCACAGGGGTCACCCCCGATGCCCACAGCCTGAGCCTGCGACAACGCTCAGTCCGGCCCCCTACCCCACGGGCCCCAACCTCCCTGGCCAAAGGTACAATAAAGCTAGCCTTCGTCCCATCTGCCCAGCTTCTGCCTTGGGGTCCTGGTGTCAGCACCCTGCCCCCATCAGTCCCACACTCCGGGTGGCGCTAAGTCCACGCTACCAGTCAAGAGACCAAGTACCAAAAACCAAAACGAGTTCCATTTATTGAGGAGCCCAGGGACAATCCTGGGCCAGGCCCACTAGGGAAAGAGCATCTCTGAGGTCTTTGCATTTTATAAAATGAGAGTCCTTCGTGCGAGGCTCCCGGCCGAGACGGCCAGGCCAGGTGTCCAGGTGCCAGAGCTATGACCTGGGCCGGTAGGACACGGCTGCGCCCCACCCGCCCGTCACACGCTCATGGTCATCCCTGGGGAGTACTGCGGGGAGAGAAAGGTGCGCGAGCCGGTTCAGCTCCGGCCTCGGCTGGGACCCGCCCCCCAGGGAAGGGGCCAGGGTGGGAGGGGGAGGCGTGGAAGGCAGGGCGGGAGGGGGAAGGTGCGCGGCCGCCCCCCCACCTGGCCCGCCGGGTCACGGTCTTGCTCTGGCCCCCCGGCCGCCCCGCCGGGGTCTGCCCGTCAGGCCCCTCCGGCCCGACGCCGCCGCCGCGGGGAGGGACTCGACGCAGTCGCTTACGCTTTCGCCCGGGAAGGGGTGCAGGAAGGTCCCGGCGGCCGCCATCTCGCCGTCGTCCCGCGGGGTGCCCGGGGCGGTGCTCAAGCCGGCCACAGCGCCGGGGGAGCTCTAGGGGCGGCTGCCGTCAGCTCCCGGCCTGGCCCGCGCCCCGCCCCGGTACCCCGGGGGGTACTGCCCTTACCTTCGGCAACCCATCCATGTCACCCGAGCCTGCGGGTCAGAGCAACGCGACTCAGGGTGTCCCCTCTGCGTCAACGCCCGCCCGCCCGCCCGCGTCGGGGAAGCCACCAGGGGGCGCGACTCACCCAGGGATCCGTTCACTGGGTGCGGCTCCATCGCGCTCACGGCGGCCATAGGGCCCTCAGCGCCGGGCCCGAGAGGGAACTGTGGGCACAGGGCGGGCAGGTGAGGTGAGGCTGCGTCCCGCGGCAGGCTGGGGGCCCGTGCCACGCCCGCGCGGGCACTCACATTAGCCCTGCCGGCGCCCGGCCCCAGGGGGTTCATAAGGGTGAACATGCTCTCGCTGGATGTGGTGGAATCTGGGGAAGACAGTGGCATCAGGTGGGCACGGTGTTCCACTGGTTGCGGGCTGCCAGTCACCCGCCCATCACTGCCGGCCCTACCTCCAGGGCTGGGCATGATAGGCGTCCCGGGGGGCCCACCACCTCCTGGGGGTCCCTGTGGGCAGAAAGGAGGGAGATGAGCAGCCAGTCGACATCATGCAACCCTGCCCAGCACCCACACCTCACCACTCACCGTGTAGCTGACCGGGGAAGAGGAAGAGTAGGGGATCTGAGGAGGGGGGTAGGCTGTGAGTGGGTGACTGGGGTGCTGGCCCAGCCATCTCCCACCCCTGCCCAGACTCACCGAGTTGCCACTAGGGCTGGCCCAAGGGCCGCGAACTCCAGGGGTCCTGGAAGAGGAGTCTGCCTGGAGCAAGGTACAGAAACACCTGGCTCCCCGGGCCAACACGACCATGGGTGCTGCCTGGTGGGCTCTGACTGGTTCCAGTGGGCTCATGTCCCGCCATCACTACCTTAATCTACCCACCCCAAGAACTCAGGGGTCCCAGAGAGGCCAAGAGGCCTGCAGACACAATCTAGGGACCCCCTCAAGGCCTTACATGTTCATGGTAGGTAGTCCTGGTCCGGTGAGGGCGTTGGGCGGGGGCCGCATGCCGCCTCCATAGCCCTGTGGAGGCAGAGGACCTGAGCCAAGGCTCATGGGGATGGCCCTGCCACCCTGCCCTCCTGAAACCTTACCTGGGGCCCGACGCCTGCCATGCCCCGGGGTGGTGTCACTCTCTGCATCGGGCCGCCCATGCTCGAGTGCCCTGGGGTGAGCAAAGGAAGGGACTCATTGGCTGTTTCTCAGGACACATGGTCAGGGGCCCAGATGGGTGGGGGACCCTACTCACCCTGCATGCGAGCGGAGGGGTCCATGGCGCCAGGGAGCAGGGGCTGGGAGCCCGGGAGGCCCACAGGAGGCTGTAGGGGGCAGCACTGAGTGTGGGGGCACCCCTACCCCAGCCCAGCTCCTGCCCTTGCCCTCATCCCTTCTCACCTGATTTGGCATCCTCAGGGTGGGCCGGGGGCCCCCTGGGAACCGCGGGGACATGAAAGGCTGGAAGAGGGGGGTGGGCATCAGTGCCTCCACCTAATCTTTAGCCCCTCAAACTGACCCGCTCTACTCTGCTACACCTGGCTCCACATCTGGATCCCCTACTCCCACTGGCACAGGCAGCTGGCAAGCAGGTACAGTGTCCTGCCCACGGGAAGGGTCAGATAGCTGTCACACTGGCACTGGAGTGACCCGTGAAGACAGAGCCAGGCTAACTGGCTGATCCCCAGAAAGCCTGTTCCCTGGTACTCAACAGGGCCTGGCCAAGGCAGGAGGGGGAAGTGACAGAGGCAGGAGGCAGCTAACCCACCCCCACACCCCAGCACACCTGTGTGGCCCCAACTCTGGCTATAGCCCTGCCAATGCCACCCTCACACACCAGACCAATGCAGCCTGGTTGTACCTGAAAGAAGCCAGATGCCATGGGGCCTGGGGTCATTGCGTCACTCGGGGTCATGGTCCCCATCACCGGGCTCGGGGTGGCCGCAGCACTCTGCAGAAGTGGGTGATGTTGTGGGAACTCTGACAGGATACTTCCTGCCCAGTGTGTCCCGTCTCCTCTGCAGGGGGCTGCGGGGTGGTGTGCCGCCAGCTAGTCAGGCTAGCAGAGCCTGTGACCACGCGGAAGGCACATCCTCTACAGGTGGAGGCCAGCTGCCCTTCCCCTTGGATGAAGCAACCCTGGCAAGCCTTGAGCCACCCTAGCGACTCCTTGGTCCTTGAGTCCCTGCTGGAGGCTTGTGACAGAACTGGCACAGGCCTATACCAACAGGGTGGTCACCTATCAGCCCCTACAGCCATCCCCAGCTCTGTGCCACGGCTTGTAGGCAGCTCAGCAGGCCCCAACATTGACCCCGGTTCCCAGGCCAGCCCCAGCCAGACCGACCAGCTCTGCTCTCCACACCAAGTCCCAGGTGCGCCTGCCTCTGTGGGCCAGCAGTGACAAGACTCTCATCGCTGGAAAGACCTTATGCCTGAGAGGGGTCATAGACCCACTCTGGCCAGGGTCCCAACCAACAAGTCCCCTCTGGAAGAAGCCGCCTCGGGCTGGGAAGAGGGATGTGGCTGAGCCTGGTCAGTCCCCTACACCAGTCATCAGCCAGCCCAGCAAAGCCACAGCCCTGCCCTGTTGTCATAACTACAGCAGGGTGCCTCCTCGCGTTTCCCGGAGACGCCAAGGTCGGCTTAGGAGGCCAGAGCCAGGGAGGGGTGGACTGAGCCTCTGGCGGGAGTAAAGCGCCTCGCGGTGCGGGCATGAGCGCCCCACCGCCCAGGCCGGGTAGAACTTGCACCCAGCTGCAGAGACCAAGGAGCCCCACCCCCACCGCGGCGCCCGTGTTTCCCCTCACGGACGCGCCCTCGCCACCATGGCAACCCCGGAACTGTCGCATGCGCACGAAGGCGGGGGCGCCCGGGAGGCCGCCAGACCCTAGCCGCAGAGGCGGAAGGGGCTGCGCGCTGGGAGGGGGCTGGGGTTCCAAGCTCCAGGTACCCCGGCTTGGGCACGGGACAGCGAGGCCCGCAGAGCAGCAGCGCAGCCCCGCTCCCACGCACTTGCAGGGCGCGCGCCGAGCACCTCTAGCCGAGCAGAAGGCAGCAGCGCGCCCCCACCCCCGAGAGTGTCAGACCCCAGCACTCACGTGGTCCTGGAAGGCCTTGGCCTCGCCCGCGTGGTCGCAGGTCTCCCTGCGGTCTGGCGCGGCGCAGTACAGGTCCCAGAACACGCTGTGGGGGGAGGGGGTTGTGGGGGGCAGACAGTCCAGTTGCTCCACCGCGTGCCCCGCTCCCCCCCCCCCACCGACTCACACGCACCACCACCAGGAATGCAGGAAGCCTGGGGGCTCCCCAAGCGTGATGTTCTTCTCCCACCGAATCTGTGAGGAGAGGGCACGCAGTAAGGTCCTGCCTGCCCACATTGTTTTCAATGTACCCCCCCTCCGCCCCGTGTGGGGTGGGAGGTGGGGGCGGCCCACCCGGGAAGGGGACCCTTACCTCTGACAGGAAGGTTTGGGCTGACTTCTGGGCGCCCACGTGCAGCAGGTACTCATACACATACAGCGCCAGCCTGTGGGGCAGGCAGCAGGTCAGGGTCCCCAGCAGCTCACGCAGGTAGGCAAGTGGACACCACTCCAAGCCCACTCTGGTCTCCCTGCTGTCCCCCATGGCTCACAGAAAATGGCCTCTTCGGCCTGGCCACCTCCTACACACCCATAAACGCCCAACCTTCGATGCTCCTACCCCCAGTGACTTAAGGCCCAGGTTGCCTGGTTCCAACACTCCCTTGTGGACCAAGCCTGACCCTGTCTTACCAACACTCTACCCCAGAGCAGACTTGACTTCCAGCAAGCCTGCCCAGCCAGGATGTGTGCGCAGGGAACACCACTGACTTGCCCTTCCCTGGTGTTCCTAAACCATGGCTCCCCGGGATTCTAGGAGCAGAGGGGAAGTGGGAGGACGCACACACGCGGCCATAGCCCCAGTCCCAACACCCCTGTGTCCAATGCACTGGCAGCCTGTGGGGTCCTGTACACCACTACTTCCCCAAGAACAAAGACTTGGCCTCCCTGCCCAGCCAGGCTGCACCAGTGCCCTTCACCTTCACAGCAGGGGTCAGTGGAGGGAGGCCACCCCCAGGGACATCCCACCCCAGCCCTCCCTCACCTTAGGTGTGCACCATCCTGCACTCAGGGCCTGCCCAGTTCAGGGCCCTCTTTCCTCTCACCTCTCAGCCTGCCTCGCCCCTGCCCCTCTAACTCTGGGACAAGGGTGTGGGGACCCCGCCCCAGCTCTGCCTCTGCCCTGGGGTCTGCCCCTTCTCCATCTGGGGCGGGGGTGGCGGAAATACCTGGAGGATGCCAGGCCAGGGGGGGACAGCGGGTGGGGGGGTATTCACCCCACACTTTGTGTGCCATGAGGCAAGGTGCAGAAGCAAGCCCACAGGGCTTGGAGGACAGGGAGCTGCAGCTCACTCGCCTCTGGGCTCCAGGGCTGCCCAGACAGGTGACCCAGGCCACTAATGGCTCAGACAGTCCCACCAGCCTCTGCCCAGAGGTACCCAGCACACATTGCTGGGAGTGGGGGGTGAGAGGCAGGACACTGCACTCACCTCAGGGCCAATCTAACCCTTCCCAGGCCCCTCTAGACTGTCCCCTCACCTCCCCACCCTGTTGCCCCAACTTCCCAAGCCCAGGGTCTGTGGCTGAGCTCCTTTCTCAGACCCTGACCTTCGCGGCAGGTGACTGCAGCAGCCATGGGCCATCTCCAAACCAAGCCAAGTGACACAACAGGCTGTCACCATGGGCCCTAGAGTGGGCACCATGCTCAAGGGTGCAGACCCCAGGCAGGCAGGCAGCGATGACCCAGAACCCAGCCAGTGCTGCCTCCTCCTCCAGGCCTGGGCTCTGGGGTCACAGTAGAGACCACCAAACACTCCACCTTTCCACTGACAACCGCCAGGTCCAGGAGCCTGGGGGCGGGAGGATGCCTTTGTGACCCTTCCTCATCTTAGGCTCTGAGCAGGGAGGACACCACGGTAGAGGTGAGGATCAGGCCATGCAACCCTCTTCACTCCACTTCCCAGAAGAAGAGGAAACCAAGGCCTGGAGACAGGAAGCGGCTCTGGCCAGCAGCTGGTATTTCCTGAGTCAGGGGCTGCTGTACGGGTGCCTAACCTGCTTGTGTTCCCTGCCCTGAGGACTCCAAAAGAAGCCTGTCCACAGCTCATGCAAGATAACTGAGCTAGGGTCACCAGCAGGCTGCCCCTACTTCTCCAAGGGCTCTCCAAGGCCCTTGAAAGAAGGCTGCTAGCTCTCCTGACCTTTTAGTCCCTGCTGGGCAAGCGCAAGGACATGGCCACCCAGGGTCTTCCTGATCTCTCCATCCACCTACAACCACTTCTGCAGGGACCCACATCTGGCATTTCTGTGTGTGCTGGGCCCCTGCTTCCTGATGCACCCCTCACTGTCGGGTCTCTTGGGATCTGTGATGAGGACTGGCCAGATACAGGGACAGCAGCCTGGTCTCCCTCCTGCCATGCATGTGCACCCCGCTGAGCTGCACCCCAGGCAGCCTAGCAAAGGTCTGCCCAGCACAGAACAGCTCCCACTCATGGGTGGCTGCCCCCAGACCCACAAGCTGATGGGGACAGGGAAGGGACATGCTGGCAAGGGTGGGGCGACCAGGCCAGACACCCCCTGGTTCCAGCCTTGGCAACAGCTCAGGTGGCAGTTTCAAAATGTCCTTGAGCTTCACCAACTTAGTAAGGTTGTGGAGGGTCAGACACTTCTCCCAAGGGGCTGAGTCTGGGCAGTGTGGTTGTGGTGGGGGTCCTCCCGGTCCTGCCCAGCCTTCCACCAGCCATGCCTGATGACCCAGCCTCCTCTGTGCTCTGGGGAGCACCCCGCATGCCTTGGCCTCTGGGCTGTGAATCTGCCAGCCACCGGGCCCTGCACTCTGGCCAAACCTAGAGTGTCCTTGCTGTGGGGCAGTCAGGACTCCAGCCACCTTCAAAAGCTCTCCTCATTTCCCACGGAAGGAAAGCGGGTCAGGCTGGGGCACTCCCTGGATCACAGCCACGGAACAGGGGCACAACAGTGCCACGCTCTGGGAACAGCCCAGCTTTGGGGGACACTCAGCTGCATCCCCACTCCAGGACCCCGGCAAGACCCCACTTCCTCCACCCGCAAGGTCTATCTAGGGACTTAGGGACCCGCCCTCCACCAGCCGGAGACACTCATCCCGCACCACCCACAGCCATGCTCAGAACTAGAGGGGCCCCAGGCGCGTATCTCAGGAATGGGGAGACTCGGGCTGTGACCAGACAGCGAACCGCGCGGCCTCCCCGGGGGTCGCTCCTGGACACTATGCAGGTGCTCGGGTCGAGCGCACAGGTGGCAGCGCCCTCAAGGTACCCCTCTCCACGGCCAGGATCGCGGGGCGCCCGGTGTCCCCACCCGAGAAACTTCCACAAGGGGCGAAAAGCGACGCAGCCCGTGTCCCCCGTGCCTCTAAGTTTCCTCCCTGGGGCGGGGGCGTCTCGCCCCTCGCGGCCCGCCCGGATCCCGCGCGTCCCCCACCCGCGCGCCTGCGCCCACTCACTTCTCGCGCGCCTGGCCGTCTGAGGGCACTGCCGAGCCCTTGCCCCCCTTGGCGTACATGCTGCTCCGCGCCGCGCCGCCGCCCACACCTGTCAGGCGCCGCCGGGGGCCGCGCCCGCCT